TATTTGCAGGCTTTCTTCAAATGGTATATAACATGGTAGCTGGCTATATAATTTAGACTCATATCCAGGCTCATACCATTCTGCTTTGTAACTTAAGGGAGGATAGGAGAATATTTATTAGCTTCAGTGGTAAGTTCTAGGAACTTATATCATGGGATCATCGCTCAGGCCAGGTGGTGGTCAGAGAGACAGCGTCATGTTATTAGCCCTTCCTGGGTCTGTAGTCTTTCATTATCAGATGAATGTCTAGGGACAAAAATAAATGCAAGGCATGTACTCTTCTCTCAGCTGGACCAGGCAGCATTTCATTCTGCTGTACTGAGGGTGGCTCTGAGTTGGAATTCACTTGATGGCAATAACACAATGACAAAATAGTAAGATTTGGGTAAATTCAGAGAAAGGGGAATGTTTGATAATGTTTTCAGCAAAGGACTTTTAGGATCAAGGTGCACCTGACCCAAGCCATGGTATTTTCAGTCATCCCAAATGTATTTGAAAGCTGGATAATTCATTAGGAAGACCCAAGAAGACTTGATGTCTGAATCGTGGTATTGATACAGAATATGAAATATACCATAAATACCAGCAGAATAAACAAATCGGTCATGAACGAAGTACAGCTAGAATGCTCCTTTGAAGTGAGGGCATTAGACACGTTACCGTGCTTTATCAGGAGGGACCAGTTCCCGGAGAAGGACGTCATCTTGGTAAAGTAGAAGGGCAGTGAAAAGGAGGAAGGTCCTCAATGAGATGGATTGCCAAGGTGCCTGCATCAGTGGGCTCCAACAGCAATCAGTGGCTGTGAGAATGGTGCAGGACAGGGGAGGGTTTTGTTCTGTTGGAACTGACTCGATGGCACTTAATAGCAACAGTGGGGAGTCTCTTGCTTTGACCTGGCCAGTACCCTGCCTTGCTGCCTATTGCTCCACAGAGATAGTCCTAAAGAGGTGAGGAGGCTTGCATGTGCTCTATATTCTCAGTGTGTGCCCATTATTCTCAGCTGCACCTGCTGCCTTGATTCTCATATACTTCTTTATTTGGATAGAGTTGACACATAAGAGACATATTAAGCAGATGATTTATAATAATGCTTTTGCTATACTTATCTGGTCAAAACCTAAATTTTAGCTTTAGGTTTTTGG